ACAATAACTGCAATCTTGGAACTGGATATCAAGGAAGAACAAAAGATTAAGTTGGCCCCCATTGTTTTTTTCCACAGCAATTGACGTAGATAAATCTACGTTCTCTTCCGGTTTGAATTTAAGGTGGCCCAGAATCTTGAAATAAGATTTGTATAACAACTGCAATTTTGGAACTGGACATTAAGGAAGAACAAAAGATTAAGTTGGCCCCCATTGTTTTTTTCCACAGCAATTGACGTAGATAAATCTACGTTCTCTTCCGGTTTGAATTTAAGGTGGCCCAGAATCTTGAAATAAGATTTACATAACTAACTGCAATTTTGGATCTGGACATTAAAGTAGAATAAAAGACTAAGATGGCTACCATCATTTTTCCCCACAGCAATTGAAGCAGATAGACTTAAGGTGGAACAGAACTCTGAAATAAGAACTGCATAACTGTATAATTAACTGTAACTTTGGAACTGGACATCATGGAAAACTGGGAATTTGAAGAACTATGTGAATTTTTTAAAATATATATATAAATCAGTAAAATCAAACCTAATTAGAATTTTGAATTCAGATAAGCAGATAGCTATAGAACTCAAAGAAGAAGGGGTCGAGACATTGAAAGGGTAGAAGCAGAGGGAAATAAAAAGCAGAAAAAACACTCCTTTGGTCCTGGCAGTGGTGTAGGGAAAATTGTGATTCTTTTCCCTTTTGTTGGGACACCTCCCCTTTTCACAATTTTCCCTACACCATTGCCGGGACCAAAGGAGTTTTTTGTCTGCTTTTTATTTCCCTCCGCTTCTACCACTTCAATGTTTTGCTCCCCTTCTTCTTTGAGTTCTTCTATAGCTATCTGCTTCTCTGGATTCAAAATTCTAATTAGGCTTGATTTTACTGATTTATGTATATTTTTTAAAATTTCACATAGTTCTTCAAATTCCCAGTTTTCCATGATGTCCAGTTCCAAAGTTACAGTTAATTATACAGTTATGCAGTTCTTATTTCAGAGTTCTGTTCCACCTTAAGTCTATCTGCTTCAATTGCTGTGGGGGAAAATGATGGTGGCCATCTTAGTCTTTTATTCTACCTTAATGTTCAGATCCAAAATTGCAGTTAGTTATTCAAGATTCTGGACCCCCTTAAATTCAAACCAGAAGAGAAGCTGGGGCGTATCTTACTCTTTTGCCGAGCGGGGGGGAAAAAAGGAATAATAATAAGAAAGAAAAACAAAACAAACCCCTTTGTATTTCCAATTTGAATTCCGTTATTATTCTGTTGTTATTCTTTCCCTTACCGGGTCCGGTCTCTTGTAGCTGCTTGCAATATATCACTTGAAACAGGCTCGCAATCCACCAGATTCTGGTATTCTTCTTTGCCTCCTACTTTTCAAAGTTCTGATTTATGACAGTTGGTTAATTAAAACTTCCCGCACAGTCAAAGTTAGGTTATCAGTTATCAGTAAGAAGAAGTGCTTCTTTTTTTGGGGGGGGGGAGTTAAGATTTATCAATTGGAAAAAGTTCAAACAGAATAAATCTTTCAAAGTGTTTGGTTTCTTTTCAAATCCAAAACCAAGTCTAAAGTTTATATTTAAGTGGGTTTGTCATCTCTCTGCTTTCTCCTTTCTGTCCAAAATTGTTTTGAGTAAATAACTTTGGGGGGGGGGGTTTAACCCTCCATTTTCCCTTCCTTCCTTCCTTCCTTCCTTCCTTCCTTCCTTCCTTCCTTCCTTCCTTCCTTCCTTCCTTCCTTCATTTTTGAAAAAGTCCCGATCTGACCATCAATATTATTTATGTTCTCACGATTTCTTTGCCTTTTCCAGGTTTGATTTATGGCTGTGGGTTAGATAAATTATCTTACTGGCCTTTCATCTCTTCCAAACCCCCCTGTTCCTTTTGCTTTGACAAGACGTTCAGCATCTTGTCAGCCGATTCAAAAGACAAATCTCCGAACTGCGAGGGATCTGTTGCATCCCCCTGGGTCAGATGAGATGCTGTCCTCTTTGCCCCCCCCCCTCCAGGGGGGGTTCTGGTCCAAACGGACCTCAGAGTTGGTTTGTCAGACAGGGTTCATGTGAGGCTCTTGAAAGCCCACACACCCCATGTCTGTCCATCTAAAGAACTTCCTGTCAACTCTGAGAGTGGACACTTTCTAAAGTGGTAATAATAAAATAATTATTTGCATGATGACTAGTTCTCACACTCTAAAATATTCACTTAAACTATGGATAGAAGGAAGTTAAATCTGAATGTTGTCATAAATGTCCAGGTGATTTGCAACATGTTTTGGAAGATTTCTTAGAGTGTGATTCCTATTTTTCCAATATCAACCAAATGATAAACCATGTCCCTAAATTTCACCACTAAAATTAAAAGAACCGGGATAACATAAATGGAGTTTGTAAAGAAACTATGCCTTTTTTTTCACTGACAGTTTAACTGCTAAATCTAGGAGGTCTCTCAAGATTGAATTCACCTTCATAGTACCTACACATACATCTCCCTCCTGGCAAACTTTACCAACCTGGAGGGGCACGGATCTAATGAGCAGGTGACCAAGCTTAGTTATAAGGACCTTGTCCACTTCTTTAGGCACAAGTTTAAACCTTTCCTAGATATCAGAGCAAAATTGAATTTGCCATCTGTCAGTGTCCCAAGTAGACTAGGCAGGAATCACAATAAGATGAGCTAATTCTACTTTATTATAAGGCTACATTAATAGAATCTTGCAAATCTGAAAGTACAAATCTCTTATCTCTTTTTACTTCTGATTAATTATGGAAGATCATTTCTAAATTTGTTTTTCTGCCTGTTACTCAATTGTAGGCTCCTCCCTCTTTTATCTGAGTGTTCCTTAAGTTGCTATCTCTTTGTTACCAGGGCATGATCTAACCATGATAGAGGAACCACAGAGAGCTTCCCCAGATCACATAGTTTCAAAGAAAACCTGATCAAGTATGACCACTGTCCCGTGATGGGTTCTGGATGACCTGGAATATACCCATGACTGTCATAGTGGCTACAAACTCCTGATCTACCTCAGACCCCTCCCCAGAAGATAGATTGAAATTTTCCAGAACCATAAGCCTGGGAAAGTCAACGAATAACGATAGTGCCAACACTTTCTGCAACAGGTTTCCCCCAAAAGAGAAATTAAGTGGAAGTTGTCTAATACAGTTAGATCAAGAAATGGGTTCTTCAGCAAGGTATACACCACCATTTCCTTCAAGGCAGGAGGCATTACCCTCTCCTTCAAAGAGTTATTAATCTTCTCCCAAGTCTAAACAAATGTCTCCCACCAGATACAGTGAGCCAAGCAGGACATGAATTAAGGTCAGAGATCCTGACCCAGATTTTTTTTTCTCCTGTTTCTTCTATCTCTAGAAGTTCAAAGGAACCCACATTGTCTAGGACATCTGGAACGATTCAGCACAAGTAGCAACTTCCTTGTGAGCAATTTATCTGGCAGCCAAGGGGATCAGTCTAGCAAACCATCATGTTACTGGGAGGAGACAGAGGTGCCTAAAGCTGGACGGAAACAAAATTGCACATTTGTCATGTCATAACCAGTTTAGTGTCTTCTATCATTCCTTTCTTGGGTGGGAATTTGTTTCCCGTACAGGAAGGTTTCAATGTCTCTACTGACCTAGTTCCAAATGGAGTAGCTGACCTATCATTAAGTAAAGGTGGACGTGCAGCACTTAGGAATCAAAATCCCACTTTCTCATCCAGTCCACACATCTGCAAACCAACTTGAAGGTGCAAAATTCCTTAACCATCAATCCTCATCTGTGAGCCCTGTCTCTTCAAATTTCAGTTCTTTCATATTTCCCACACTTTCTAAATGTTTGTAGCCAATTTTCCAAACTAACTGTCAGAATCTTTCATTTGCCATCAGCTTCAAATTGAGCTCAATGGAATTCTCTGTTTTATTGCAGTTTCTTCTGAAACTTATTTCTTGGCATCTCCACACAGTTGCTACTCTTCTGAGAACTTCTAGTTTTCTCCATTTTTCTGGCCACAGCCTCTATTAGGAGCCAAGACACAGATGATTCATGGCCCTGGCAAACTCAGCTTCCCATATGACAGATCAAACAATCAAGAAGACTTCTTTACTGTCCATCCCATCCCAGAAGATACTTTTCTTGTTTGTTCAGATCATCCTGTCTTCTCCTTTGCCCATTATTCTTTCTTTGCCCTCCTTCTCACTGCCACTTGCTATCTCTTCTGTTGCACCCTATTCCTTCCAAAACCTGATTACATAGTGTTCCATCCTAGTCACTGACATTCCTGTAGTCTGTAAATACCAGTAGTAGCAACACATACACACTTTATAACTAAAACAAAACAAAACTCCAATAGCACAATACAAAAATGTCCGTGCACCACGCTCAACAATAGAGCTTGCTGCTCTATTCTTTGGGGGGGAAAGAAAAGACAAGAGCATCTATAGTAACTGAATTTCAACAATTAAATTAACAAAAAATAGTTTTTTGAGTGGTTAATTTTTTAGGTAAGGAAATTTTGCAACCTTCAGAAAGCTACATTGTGCCAGCCTGCAGGGTTTTCTAACAGGGGAGATTTCTTAGGAATTAGGCTTTATCTCTGCAGATGAAAGTACTGTCATGCCCTGAAAACACAACAAGATTGTGCCAGGTTTGTACTTGGTTTGAAAACTATCAGGAGATTCCAGGGTAATTTGATGTAATGATTAAAACAGTGTCTAGAAAACAGGAGACGGAAAGTTCAATTCCTGCCTTAGGCATGAAACTAGCTAGGTGATCTTGGGTCAATCATTTCCTTTTAGCCTTAAGAAGAAGTTATGGGCTAACCACTTCTAAAAAAAAAAAACTTGCCAAGAAATTTGAAGAGACTTGTCCCGGAGTCAAGACTGATTTGAAGGCATAAAACAGGTTAACCAAAAAGTTGGAAAACATCTTAGGAAAAGGAAGTAGCAATTATTTTTACGTTTATAAAAAACTTTCCAGTATAACAAAATGTAAAATAAGATAAAGAGAGTAGTCTTTATAAATTGCTGGGATTTTTCTCCATAGAATAGAATTAAGAGTTCTTTGTTACATTAATATTTGACAAGCTCACAGCTTTGTGCCTGAAAACATTGGAAGAAAATTCTTTGGCATAATGCTGGAGAAACTAATTTAGGAAAGTAATATTTATTCAAAAAAATATAAGAGGAACAATTCAAAGTCCTAATTTTTTATATGGCAGGAAGGATTTGGAGAAGGGTAGTTAAACCTAATCCAAAACTCTATAGTTTAAATTACTATTCTGCTACAGCAAATTCATATCTGAGAAGAATTAAATGCTTGCGGGGGGAAAACATTTTTTTTGTTAAATGTAACCTAAATATCTTGATTCTGGGATTGTGAACTGTTCACTGCAGTGCAATTTTGCCCCCAGACAGCTGAAGTGAAACCTAGTGAGCATACTAGAACTGATTTCTAAACAACTGTACACTATTTATTTGCAACAAACATGTCACTGCACATTACACAAAAGCTTCTTAGAACATTTGAAGGGAAGAAGTGGGTTAGAGTTAAAAAAAATATATGACTCATAGGTAGGAGAAACAGATGCACAAAGTAATCAATACCAAAAACCAAGCTTGCTACTCCATAGTAGGCATCTAAATGTTTTGTTCAAGTGCCAACATTTCAATGATGTCTGCTAAAGGAAGAACTATCCTTTCATGATTGAAATAACCATTATGGTAAATGCGCCAACTGTGACATTGTCAGACAAAGGCTTGAGATACAAAGGAGATAAAGGTACACAAAACCAGAGGTATTAAATTGTTAAATAGATAAAGCACACTCAAAAAGTTCTTAATAGGGTTCCTTTCAGATTACGTCATTTAGATACAGAGCCGTGCACATTTTTAGATCAACCCTACATTCATGGTAGTGATTTGTGTTATCATGCTGAGTCCCATTATAATAGGGAAGAATAATAATCTCTTTCAATTCTCAACAAACACTTTATATAAAGTATTATTATTCAAGCCAGTTACTATCCATTCAAAACTTATCCCTGATGAAATTGGTGCCAATCTCTTTTTACTGGAAAAAATGCTAATTTTAATTTCATTGTTAAGCGAAATGCGGTAAAATAATCATCTTTTAAACACATATTTTTAAGGAGAGTGCGTGCTGCACCTAAATAAATCAATAAAAATAAAAAAGCCAGTTGGTTGCTCTAGCGTTTACTTAGAACAAGGTGAGTAAAAGACTAGGAGAATGAAGAGGAAGTTACAGTCACTTGGTTGTCAAGAGCAGATGAAATACTTGCTGTTGGAATGAAGTTGTGGAATGCTGCTTAGTGGGGTGTGGTTAGCTCACATCATGGTGATATGATGAAGAAATCTCTTAGGGTTTCCTTCATATCAACTTCCAACTACCACTCCACATGATTTTTAAACTGTAAAATGGAATGCACCGTGTGTCCCATTAAATCCTAAAGCTTTATCATGTTTTGGAGACCTATCCAATGATCCTCCTGGTTTCTCCATCCACCAGGAAATGGTAGCGATTATTAGATTTCTGACAGCTGAATTAGCAATATTGAAATACCTGAATTATTTCTGTATAATTAGCTTTTAATGGGAAACAGCATTCTCTGCCCACACAATGCATTAAATAGACACATTCCCTAGTTTTAAATAGATACAAAACTCCCCTTTCTAAGCCAATTGTGTAGTTTTCATAATAAAACTCAAGACTTAACTTGAAAGTCAAGAATGTTTGCATCTTAGTGGAATGCATGTATAATTACGTACATAATTAAGATAATGTTTTCAATATGGACGCCATGTCATTTATATTTGTCATCAAATTGCTTTGTTCCAATCTCAAGAGAGAGAGCTCTGAAAGCTGCTGTTCAAAAAAAGATAGGGGCCAAATATCTCCATTAAATAATTTTGAATACTTATTTCAAATTATAATTTCTCAGGATTGTTGGAGAAAAGCCATAATTAATTCAGAATAAAATTCCTTTATGTTTGCAACATAGAGATTATTGTAGAAGACAATAACCAGTTAATGTAACAACACACATCATCTCCCTTGATAAATATGCTTAAGGTTGATTTATATTGACAATATTTAAAAGAACCAAAGATGATTGTTTCTTAAATAAGTTATGCAAATCTTTGGGACTGAATATTATGCATATTGAATATATCAGTTTAAAAGAATAAAATGAAAAAGAAAGCACATTAGTTTTCTAAACACTAACATGGCCAGCTCACTACTATTATTATAAAAGTAATATAAACTTGGGTAATTTCAACATTTAAAATGTTATTTTATAGTGAGACCTTTGCATTAGATTTCGTAAAATGAATTCGAGTATTTCTCAGTCTCAGGTCTGCAGTAGTAACTAATATTACGAACATCTGCTTTTACTTTTTCAAATGTCTAAGTCTCTTTTCATTCATGTACTCTTGCAAATTCCAAATTGAAATATAAATCATGGTGTCATAAATTTGGCATAGCTATTGAAATATTTGCTTAGAAGGTGAAATTAAGGTGTCCAAACATGAAATAAATGCACTGATGAAATATGATATTTTGTAATTTAGTTCATATTATTTGCTTCAAAGAGTAATACAAAACCTTAACTTGATATATGAATACAGATCATGTTCAAATTAGACAGAGTGCATATAATTTTGGATGAAATGGTTCTAAATGGTTGCATTGCAGAAACCAACAAAACCAGAATTCTTGCACCTCTTTTGGTTCTTGATAAAATGGCAGAAACCTAGAAGAAACAAGCCAGAAAATAATATTGTACATATTTGAAAACATTCTTCAAATAAAAAGGACAGTTTTTGAGTTTTTTGCCAAATTGTGAATAATTGTTTTCAGACTAAAAGATTACTTAAGCGAATGTTTAGCACTCATCATCTTCTTGTAAAATTACATTTTTTGCTACCATGCCAAATGTTTTTGAAGTTTGTAATATGCTTAAGGAATTAATCTTTATATATAAATATGGATGTGTGTGTCTTTATTTATTGATCATTTATCTTGCCACAATCAAAAGCAGCTTCTTTGTGACTTGCAACAATAAAAAAAAACAATAAAAATTGAAAATATACATCTCAACAAAACAACAACAAAAAACATATTTTACAAATAGCATCTGGCATCCGCCTATAAACTACCTGAAGGAAATCTGTGTTTAAGAGCTTCTGAAATGAAATGAAGTGACTGAAGTTGGGGGCCAGACATACTTCCTGCAGGAGGCCACTCTTCAGACTGGCCTGAAGTGGGACCTCCCCAAAATGGAGGACGATCATCCACTTCTCAAAGAGGTTGGGCAAATTCAGTGGAGAGAGGAGATCCTGAAGGTAGCCCAGCATCAAGCTACAAAGAACTTTCTAATTTAAAACAGGACTTGGCATTGCCAACAAATGGGTGTAATACATGACCACCAGCAAGCACCGGGGCTACTGCATTTTGCACCAACTGACGCTTCCACTGATCTTTAAAACCAATCCCATGTAGAACACTTTGCAGTAGTAGTCTATGTGCATGATGATGAGGTCATAGACTACCAGTCACATCTGTTGCCCTCAGACAAGTCATAATTGGTGCACTAACAGGAGCTGTGCAAAGTCTACTCTGGCCATAGCTTTTATGTAATGATCCAGAGCCTTGAGGCCAGGAAGACACCCAAGTTGAGTACCTGCTCCTTCAAGGGCAGAAACAATACACAAGGACAGAGGAACCTTGATGTACACACAATAGGTCTGTTTTAGTAGCATTCAATTCAAGCCTTCTCTTCCAACTAAATCCTAAGTTTCCAGGCTTTGAGACAAGCTATTGACAGCAGCTCTAGTGGGGCTTGAGGTTGTGATGAGCAGTTTCCAGGTGAGTTCTCCCAAAGACTCCATATAGCTATTAACTAATGGAGGAAATAGCAATAGCAGTTAGATTTATATACCGCTTCATAGGGCTTTCAGCCCCCTCTAAGCGGTTTACAGAGTCAGCATATCGCCCCCACAGTCTGGGTCCTCATTTTACCTACCTCGGAAGGATGGAAGGCTGAGTCAACCCTGAGCCGGTGAGATTTGAACCGCCAAACTGCAGATAACAGTCAGCTGAAGTGGCTGCAGTACAGCACTTTAACCACTGCGCCACCTTGGCTCTTCAGCATTCTGCAAGGGAGCAGCCAATCCTCCTCCCCAATCACCACTGATTGCAACTGGCTTATAAGAATGAAACCACTGTAAAACTGTGCTCCCCTTCTTCAACCCCAGCATGTAGTCCATCAGGAAAGCCATTGAGAGGTTAAAAAAGACTAGGATGCATACTACCCTTATCCAGGCCTCAATGTGGCTGCTGACCAGTTATCAGTGTTGTTGCTGTTTGAAACCCAGGGCTGAATCCTGACGACGGAATATAGTTTTTCTAGCAGGTGTTCCAGAACTACTATTTCCATAATGTTTATCAAAAAGGCAAGTATACGTGATAGTTGTCCAATACCTCAGAATCCATAAAAGTGGCACCTTTTGGAGGAATGGAACTACTTAATAAAGGATGCAAAGTAATTAGCTGATAAAAGGGGAACTACTTGACTCTTCTAATGTTTGGCTGAGCTTTCTTTTTTCTATCAATTAAATAAATATAATTTAGGCATAAACACTGGAAAAGACATGCGACTCGGTCTTTTCCAATCATATTCTAGGACTCAGGAAAATGACTCCGCTGTAATAGAAAGTAGAAAAGTAATTCTTGCAGTGGAAGAACTTAACCAAGAGGGTCCCCAAGTGTCTGTATTTCGACCACTGCTTTTTGGTTTGTTCTGAAGGATGAAGAGCAAAGTAGCTCAATCTGCTGATGACAGATAATTTTAATTTGCTTAGTATAACACAAGGTACCCCCAAAAAAATGTATAGGATGTTTTCAAATTCTGGAATAAATATTGAAATTGCAGGTAAGCAAGGATAAAAGGATCTGCTTTGGGACAAAAAAATGTTTCAAAAATGTTGAGAAGATACAAGTTGCAGTGACTGAATAGAAAAGATGCTGACATTATAAACTGCTCAGAAAGTGCTGTAAGGCATTATGGAGTGGCATATAAGTCTAAGTGATACTGCTTTTTCTATTTTAGTATCTTAAATGAGAAATATGGGCATTATTCAATCCATTCAAAAACTATTAACATAATTTATTGTTTCTGTATTGTTTTAGTACAGCTAAATTATTGGTTAATACTTTGATGGGATTATTTTTCTGTATAAAGGGGATCCTAACCCAGATGATGGAAGAACATGCATGCATTTTAATTACAACTAGTGCTTCTGAACTAAAAAGGCAAAAATATATAAGTAACCATTTCAGCTGCTCAACAGCTCTTGTCCCTTTCTTAACTTTTTGAAATTTGACCAAGATAATACACACACACACACACACCCACACCCATGCAGGTCTTGGCGTATTCAGGTCTTTTCCCGTGTTGAATAGGTCCCACTCGCCATCTTCAGGCTGGTGCCTTCGGCTTTGTTCTTGTGCGAGCAAAGCGTGATCGGAGTTACCATTTCCTATAAATATTGGTGGGGTGTGTGTGGAGTGCTGGCTTTGTTGCTGTAAGTGGGTTGGTTGGCTGTGTTGTTACATCTTGATTAGTTGATGGAGTTGATGTATGCAGATTAGTCGGCTGTTTTGTAACATCCTGTGTGGCTGAGGTACTAGCTGTGTGCCCATTAGTCTTTTGTGTTGTAACAACCTGGGTAATGGACTGTGTGATGACATCCTGAGCTCTAATGTAGTGATATCCTGAGTCCTGTGCTGCAACATCCTGGGAGGTTGGCTGCGTTGGAACATCCTGAGCCTTTGCGTTGTAACCGCCTGAGTTCTGTGATGTAATGTCCTGAGAAGATGGCTGTGATGTAACATCCTGGGCTTTGGTTTGGCTCCGTGTTTGCGGTCTGGCCATGTGTTCATGGCGTGTGTCAGTTTGCTTTGTATGGGGGTTGGAGGGGTGTGTGCAGCAGTTGGTGATGCCGCCGTGGTTTGGCTTCTGGATGGTGGTTGCATTTCACCTATGGGATGGGTTTGGGTTTGAGTCTGGTGAGGATGATTAGTGGTAGTGTCCTGTGTTGTTCTGGGTCCGGTGCTTGTGCGAGCACAAACATGAAGCCGAAGGCACCAGCCTGAAGATGGCGAGTGGGACTTCGTCAAAACGTCGCCAAAATACTCTCAATCTTACACGGGAAAAGACCCAAATACGCCAAGACCTACATATATGCATATATATGTATGTATGTATGTACGTATGTATGTATATGTATGTGGGTGTGTATATATACACACACACACATACATACACATACATACATACATACATATGTTTGTATTACAGCATTAGCACTTCCATTTTTCATTTTGTTGTTAATAGCCTCCCAACAAAAATGTTTCGTTCACAATTGTAAACTGAGTTAATAAATCAAGCTATATCCATCTTTTCTATTCTGTATTCTCATATTACTGACCTCGGAAGGATGGAAGGCTGTCAACCTTGAGCCCCATCAGGATCGAATTCCAGGCTGTGGGCAGAGTTAGCCTGCAATACTGCATTCTAATTACTGTGCCACAGGGCTCCTGTGGTTAGTTTATAATCTTTATAATCTTGGTAAGATCACATTTGGATTATTGTAACCAGTTTTGGTCACCACGATATAAAAAAGATATTGAGACTCTAGAAAGAGTGCATAGAACAACAACAAGGATGATTAGGGAACTGGAGGCTAAAACATATAAGGTTTCCTGCCTAAGCAGAGGGTTGTACTGGAATGTTCCTTCCAATTTAATTCTGTCATTCCATTAAGTTTTGAATGCATTGGGGGAACTAGTAAAATACTAACCAAAGACTTTTGTACGCTGCAAACATTTTAATGATTATTGTTGAGCATACACAATGAAAATCTTCTTTTTAAACTTCAAACTGCAACAAGTTAAATAAATGTTTTTAATATACAAAGAAAATACAACAAAGTAAAACTTGTTTTAAATGTGCCTTGCACCAGTAACCAGTGTCTTTTAAAAGCTTTATTGTTGAGTTACACGCGCACACGCACACACACACATGAACACACATTTGAGGATTTGGATCTTTATAGCGGGGTATTTAGAAATCAAAATATATTCCCACTTGAAATAATAATAAACGGTTGTGCATGATTATATGCAAATACCCTACCCCAACACTAGAATACTCCAAAAGTGCAGGCACCATTAAAGAAAGGAAAGAAAGCTTGAGATGCCCATTGACTAAGTTAAGGAAGCAGGTTTCTGACCATTTAGCTTCAAGCCAGGAAAAACAAGGATCAATGATGGAACTGTAGTGTACAGGGTATTAAATGGTAGACTTTACACAAATGCACTGTTATAAATCTTGACTCAGTAAACACTGGAAATCTGCAGATCTGCTCTTTGGAACAGTCAAACATTTGCTTCAGCTTCTGGTTGCACAAGCCCTTGGAAGCATCACACACTGTTCTTGCCTTTTTCTTGCTGGCTGTGTAATTCATTGGGATTTGTTTTGACATTAGCAGCTAACAAAATTATTCCATGTGTTTTCAAAGCCTCATGGATAGGGGAAAAAGGCAAGTCTCGTTTGAGTACAGCATGGAGATTGTATTTTCTGCACAACAACACAGGAGGCTTCACTAGGTATGAATGCAAAACCAGTTTGAGATATCCCATTTCAGAACTCAGTTCAGTTGAGATGAAAGCCTTTCTCCATGGTAGCAGCTAGGAGGCGTTCTCGCATAATCTCTTCAGAGGAATACTCAGGCAATTTAAGATAATGCACACAGGTATTCACAGATGGGTAACTTGCATCTGTAGCATCAACCTGTGAATAAATATCCATAATGTAATTTAAAAAAGAGAACAGAGACTATACCATGCACTTCCATTTCAGTGTAAACATTTATCAACTTGGTAAGCATCAGATCCCTAATCAGCATTTCAGAAATTTGGGAATTATAGCCCCACATTTGGAAGGCATCCATTTGAAGAAGCTTTGTTTAGATTCCACTAGTTTTAGTTGTTGTTGTTATTGTTGTTGTTGTTATTATTATTATTTCCCTTGCATAATGGCCAAATCACTATGAAAAAGTATCTGGCACAAGCCAGACAGAAGCAGATTTCTGAATGAGTTAACTCAAAGACAACTTCTTACAAAAATACAACTAGACGCAGTACACACAGACAAGTTGTAAGATGTTCCTACCTTGCGTACAACAGTGAGACGAGGATGTAGGTTAGCCAATCCTCCTGGGGGAAGTGTTGAACAACCAGTTGTGAATTGGAGGAATGCTTTTCTTTCGTCTGAAGACATGCCACATAAAACTCTTACAAATCTCAGGAACCCAGGGCTAAAATAAAACACATCATCAAAGCAAATAGATAAATACTAAATTTAAAAACCAACTATATAGATCCATTAAAAAGAAGGATCAAGGACCCCAAAAACCACAGCTGAGTTCTGTAAGTAACTTGGCTTCATGCCAATTTTAAAGATGACAAGCAGCACCTTAAATTATATCCATAAGTCACTGAAAACCAATGTAGTTCACATAACTAGTGTTACAAAGGTGTTGTAACGTATTGTAAGGCTGCTTCCAAATTATATTATTAAAATTGTCTCTCCTTTTTATTTAATAATATATTAAACTTGTATGTCACCTGACTTCCAATGACTCTGAGTGGGTCTCAACAATCAAAGTAATTACAACAAAATCAACAAAAGACAACAAGTGTTATACACATATCACTTTCTTATGATAAAAGCATAATGTCATATGACCACATCACTTAGTAACAGCAATCCCAGTTTCTTTTGTTAAGTAAGGAACACAGGTCATTAAGTAATCTCCTCACAACTTCCTTCCAGCTTCAATTAAGTCAATAGGGAAGCTGGCAAGGAATTACAAATCCCGTACAGTTCGCAAACAGGCTGGTGTGTGGATAAGCGGCTGGACATGATGTGGTGCTAAAGCTGCTGCGCCCAGGGAACTGGGAGGACGTGTGGGAGTGGGTGCCATGCAAGGGCAGGCCGGCCAGAGTGGCTACTGCTGCTGGAGATGGGTACATAGATGGAAGCCACAGGCAGGCAGATGAATGTGCTCTGGAGTATGAGACTCTATAGTAGGTGCGGAAGGTGCTGTGGCCATGCAGGAGAAAAAGCTGCAGGAGTAATTTGTAGAACTGACTGGTGACCTTTGCTGGCTTCCCCAATGATTTTTTTTGTGAGGAACCGCAGGGCAAGTTGCAAAGAGTGATCATGTGATCCTCCAGAACACTGTCAGCACGCTAAGTGTGAGCTGGTTGCCAAAGGCCCAGATCACGGTCATGTGATTGCAGGGTTGCTGACCGCTAACAGCCTGACTTCAAGGATGGGTTGTAAGTATCACTCATTCAGCACCATCATAACTTCAAATGGTTGTAGAATGAGTGGTTGCTAACCAAGTACTTGAACATGCCCATCATTGATGGCACCGCTGTATGCTAGACCAGTTGAAGCTTCTGATTGATCTTTAAGGCCAGCACCATGTAGAGCATATTGTAGTAGTAAAGTCACAAGGAGTCTAGAACACAAACAGTGGTCTGATTGAGATAAGGGTGCAAGTGATGTATCAGGTGCAAAGGTCTTGCTGGCAACAATTGACACCTGGTTTTCAAGCAGGAGCTGAAAGTCCAGAGAGGCTCCCCAATTTTGCACCAACCTTGAAGGGAGAAGTGCTACCCCTCGAAGTTCAAAGATGGAATATCCCAGATCTGAGTGGTCCAAATAAACATGCTTGGTATTGAAAGAAAGGGGTTGGACATGTTTCCTCCCCATCTGGATGTATGTTGGGCTGAGAATGAATGATTGACTCAAAGTCACATTGCTGATTTTTATGCCTATGGGAGGATTAGAAGTCAAGGTCTCCTTGTTTCTAGTCCAACATCTTAACTACCACATCCAACTGTCTCTCTGATCTACAATAATTTTCAGAATATCAGAGTATTAATACTCAGTCCAACATAGAAAACTAAATATATCCAAGCCTGCTTTGGTTAACCACTGGGAAGATAGTATTGTGTTTAGAATTGACAGGTTCTATTTACTTGTTCTTACAAACTATTAGATTTCAACAACATTGGAAGATTTCCAAAAAAACTACAACATTGGCAACATCTACTGAAAGCAAACAAACCTATAAAAATATGATATTTACTGCTTTCACATAGTGTCACAAGCCACTGAGAGATCAAGCACCACAAGGATATAAGCATTTGTATCAAAGGAGATGCTTATACAGCTTCCTAAAGTAGCCAGATGGGCATGAAATAAACCATGAGTAATAGGGCTCAAACTGCAGAGCTTTCCATCTATTTTGTGGGGAACTAACAAGCTGAAATGTATTCAAAGTAATATTGCAAACAAACAAACAAATCTCTACACAATTCACCTCATCAAATTTCATCCGTATAGGTGAGACATGATCAAATGTCAACAACTTGCAGCAAAATATTGCAAGGCAACTTGCAGCAGCCCACAGGGAGACCTCTCAAAAGGGAAATTAATGAAGCATCTTTCATTGTAATGATAGAGTATAATATGAATGCTGTGCCACCTTTATTGCCATAACATAAATTCAAATGTGAGCTCTTAAGCATTCAAATCAAATTCCGATCTTCCTTCACCGGCACTCCAGGCATCTTTTTTGTCACTTGATTTCCTAGATAAATTAAGGAGCCTCCTAGAATCAGCAAATAGGAGGAAGGATCAGGGAAATCCTGTTAAATGATTTGGCTGTCCATTAGTTTGATACAACTGTCTACCACAATGCTAGGAAAATTCCAAAGCACATACCAGAATTCATCTGGATCCATGATACCTGAGGCAAACTACCTTAATCAGTCTTCCCAGCATGCAGAGGTTCTTTACAATAAGCCACAACAGAGCACCAACCCCAAAGGACTCTGAGCAAGCCTATGGCTGAGATGAATTTTTTCCCCCCACTAGGGCATAGAGGATGGAATCTCCCAGCATCAACATCAAGCAGGATTCCAAACCAGACTGACAATAAGATCAGATTACTCTGGAAGAAACTCACTTGTATTGCGAGTTGAGTGGAATATGAACAGGATTCTTAACGGGTTCCTATATCGTATACTAACATTGCACTATCTCGGAAACAAGAGCCCTGACACCACCATTTTTTCCTGGAGTGTTATTATCACTCCCACTGTCCTGCCATTGTTCTCACTAGCAGTGAAAGACCTGAAACTCGGGAGGTCAGATTTCTGATCAATTTAGAAAGCAAGAAACAGCTGAGCTGAAGCACCACTGGTAACACTTTCTTTGATATCTACAATGCAGAAGGGAGTTATTTGGATTGTCAAATCCAAAGATATCCTACAAGGGTAGATCAACTTCTGTGAGCAGTTTCACATTTATCTCTCTTTATCACTTTATCACTAATATTTTGTCAGAATCTGCCTTTCTATAAAACTAAGACCATTGTTTCCCTATCTTTCAGTCTGGAATGAGAAAGGAGTTCATATCCTTCCAGGTATTTAAAAGGGTGCTACTATAGCTCGCTTATCTTTTCTCAAAGCTAAATATACCTACTTTCCTCAGTCTTTCCTAAGAGTCAGTTTCCAGCCTCTGAATAATCCTTGGTACTGTTCCTTGCACCTGTTACAGTTTGTCTGAATCTCTCTTATGATTTGGTACCTAGAACTAGACACAGTATTTAAGATTTGATCAAGGCCAATAAACTGTTTTGGATGTTATTTAATCAGCATTAATTTGTTAACAAAGCTCTGAATTTACTATAAATCACATATCTACAGATCATAATCCTGTAACATTATGGATTATAGGATTCACATTTCTTTTATTACTACATTCCCCATTTTAAGGCACACGTTTTGTTTTTTCCTACCTAAAAATATTTGTAGTGTGTCAGTATTATTTTCAACTCATTTCTTTACCTAGCAGGTTTTCTATTTTGAGGGTCATTTATTTTAGCTCCCAATCAATAATTAAAGCAGTGAGAGGTCCTTGGTGCTTTCTAAACATGGGTTTGTTTGTTTTTTGCAGACGTTTCATTATCCTAACTAGGTTTGGATTTGGATTGGATTTTATTCAATTTGTAGGCTGCCCTATTCCCCGAAGGGACTCAGGGCGGCTGAACAAAAGCCAACGGAGGGGAAATTACAAAAAGTGAGACAAAGACAAACAAACAATACAAACAGTTTAAAAGCACAACAGACACAGCAAATTCGAGTAGGGCTATCCCAGGCTTGCTGGGACAGCCAGATCTTCACGGCTGTCCAGAAGGCCTGAAGGGTGGAGAGGGTCCGAATCTCCACGGGGAGCTCATTCCAAAGGGCTGGGGCAGCCACAGAGAGGGCCCTCCTCCGAGTAGTCGCCGGCCGACATTGGCTGGCAGATGGAATACGGAGGAGGCCTAATCTGTGGGATCGAATGTGTCTATGGGAGGTAATCAGCAGAAGGCGTTCTCTCAAGTCCCCAGGTCCAATACCATGTAGGGCTATAAGTAATACCTAGCACCCTGAAGCGTATCCGGAGACCAATAGGTAGCCAGTGCAGCTCGCGGAGGATAGGTGTA